ACTTGTGGAATATGAATTAGTGTAACCATTTTAGAGGCAATATGGTGATATACATCCAAATTCCAAGAGTACATATTTTGACACTGTAATTCTGTTTCTAGGATTATGCCACAGCACATTGCACTAAGATGTTCATGACAACATTGTTTGTAATAATCAAAAACTAGAAATGAAGGAAAATGTATCAGTGGATCATAAAAATTATGGTACATCCATCCTGTAAAATGCTAGGCAGTTATTAAAATAAAATGATATAGAAAAAATGAAAACTGATGTGGATTAAATTCAGCATGATGTGCTGGCTTGGATCCTGGAACAATATCTAAAAAGGACATTAGTGGAAAAAGTAGTGAAACCCACATGAAGTCCAGAGTTTAGTTAATATGAATGTACCAATGTTAACTTCTTGTTTTTAACAAGTACCTTTATTATATAAAATGTTAATAAGTACCTTTTGCATAAATAAAAAATTATGCCAAATGAAAAGTTCATTTAAAAGTAGTCACATAGGAAAGGACCAAGCTATGATAAGTCAAAACCAAATTCAAGGTAGTATATATAGCATTTGTGTAGTAACAGATGAGGTCTATATATATACACATATACAGAGAGAGAGGTAGAGAGGTGTAGGTATAGAAACCAGCAGCGTATGCTCCTCCCCCTAAGTAGCTTTTATAGGTTATCTCTGAGTTACTGGAATGAACGTTTTCATTGTCATTGGAAATAAGCGATTAGTTGAGATATTCTCTTTTTCATTTTCACAATAAGTCATCCTGTATTCTTTCAATTCTTTTACTAGGGGACATGTGTTTGTTATATAATTTAAAAGCAACTAATTCAACAAAATAAAGTATGAAAATTGGCTAGCATCCGGGCCGGCGCTGTGGCGCAGTGGGTTAACACCCTGGCCTGAAGTACCGGCATCCCATATGGGCGCCAGTTCAAGACTCAGCTGCTCCACTTCCTGTCCAGCTCTCTGCTGTGGCCTGGGGAAGCAGTAGAAGATAGCCCAAGTCATTGGGCTCCTGCACCCACGTGGGAGACCCGGAGAAGGCTCCTGGCTCCTGGCTTCAGATTGGCGCAGCTCTGGCTGTTGCGGCCAATTGGGGAGTGAACCATTGGATGGAAGACCTCTCTCTCTCTCTCTCTTTCTCTCTCTTTCTCTCTGCCTCTCCTCTCTCTCTGTGTAACTCTGATTTTCAAGTAAAATAAATAAATCTTTAAAAAAATTGGCTAGCATGCTCACTGACATATTGAAGATACTCACTATTTGAAAACGTCTATGGCCTTTTAATATCTGCTTTGGTCTGTAAGTTCTTTACCTCTAATAACAGTCACAAAGTTTTAGTCAGTATTTATTGTGGTCTAGACTCTGGACTAAGTATTTTACACATTGTCTCATTACTCCCTGCAGCAACATTCTGAACTATGTATCATTATTATCTTCCATTTTATAGACAAGGAAAAGGGATAGAGAAGTAAAAATTTTCAAGGTCACATCACACAGTGAATAAATGGTAGAACCAGTATCCAAACTCAAGCAGCTTGTCTCCAAAGTAAAGCCATGGTTGCTTCTACAGATACTATTTCTTTTTTAACTTTCGGAATGGTTATGTGGTAAGTGTAGTCTAGCAACAAGTGGAAGAAAGCAACAATTAATCACTTTTACTCTTTGAGTTGAATGATTCTGTCTGAATCTTTTTCAATTTTAGCAAATGGGCTTTGCACCTTGATTCTTTACATTTTAAATGTTCTGGCTTGTCTTTGAATTATTTACTGGTTTTAATTAGTCCCATATCTGGATCACTTTTGAGAGACAGTTATTTGATTCTTGAAGTTGAATTTTTGGGAATACTATGAAAATCCCTCCCTAAAATGGAGCATTTTTCTTAAAAAAAAAAAAAAGATAACTAGCATTTGTTATCCCTTTCCTCTTCTTTCTCTTTTTCCCTCCTGGTCTTGTAGAGCAGGTAGTTTTTTTGCATAACATCATCTAAACTTGTCGGTTAAGAACTCCCATAAACCAATATGAGTGAGTAAAGGAATATCTTCTCCCCAGTTTACATGGCTTCTGTGGTAGAAAAAAATTAAAACCAACATTTAGATGCTAAACATTAATAGAATTTTCTACATGCACAGAAAACTAAGTCATTTTTTAAAAAATATTTATTTATTTGAAAGAGTTACAGAAAGAGAAAGAGAGAGATCTTCCATCTGCTGGTTCACTCCCCATTGCGTCAGTGGCCTGGGGCTGGCTGGGCCAGGCCAAAGCCAGGAGCCAGGAGCTTCCTCTGGGTCTCCCACATGGGTGCAGGGGCCCAAGCACTGGGGCTATCTTCCACTGCTTTCCCAGGCTTATTAACAGGGAGCTGGATCAGAAGTGGAGCAGCCAAAACTTGAACTGGTGGCTCATGTGGAATGCCAGCATTGCAGGTGGCAGCTTTACCCATTAAGCCACAGCACTGGCCCCACCAGGTCATTTTTAAAATTTACTTTTAAAGGTTTATTTATTTGTTTGGAAGTCAAAGTTACAGAAAGAGTGAGAGACAGAGAGAGAGAGAAAGAGATCTTCCATCTGCTGGTTCATTCTCCAGATGGCTGCATTGACCAACACTGAACCAGGAGCTTCTTCCTGTTCTCCCAAGTGAGTTCAGGGGTCTGAGCACTGGGGCCATCTTCCATTGCTTTTTTCAGGTCATAAGCAGGGAGCTGGATCAGAAGTGGAGCAGCGGGGGCATGAGCCAGAGCCTGTATGGGATGTTGGCATTGCAGGCAGTGGCTTTACCCATTAAGCCACAGCACTGGCCTCCATTTTTAAAATTTAAAAATATTTCAGAAACTATATTCTTTCATCTTCTAATCTGTAGGCAGAATGTGCACTTTTAATCCCAGTTATCAACATAATTTTTGTCAATTATCAACATTTGTTGGATTCTTGCTGTTTATATGGCAATACTGTTTATGGGAAATCATAAATTCCTAGCCATACTCAATATCTCATTTGATTCAACTACAAAAACTTCAAAATTTACTATGCATGTGAGCACTGCAATCTTACAAAGCTCCCTGGAAGATAGAATATAATGAATAAAACTTAGAAGATAGATAATAAAAAATAGATCTGAAAATGTGATGGAAACAAGAGAAAATGAGAAAGGGTCATTTATGGTAACAAATTAATCTCCATTAAATACTCTAAGGTGCTTGACATTGTGATGGGTGCTTAAGAGAATGTGCACTGACTGACTTCCCGCACAGTTGAGTGAAGAATATTAAACATGATGGGGCATGCTGGAATTTTATGTCTGAAAATGTACTCTGAAATTCAACAGATAGTTAGAGAGACAAACAAGTCGCCGGGGACAGTGTCAAGTGTCAAGTAGATCACTGAGAATGCTCTCCACTCTCAGGGAGCGTGTAGTCTAGTTAGAGCAGCTCTGGACAATGTGTAAATTTGTCAAGGCATCCCAGGTTAGCCAGGTATCTGTGAGCAGTGCACAACCGGCACAATCATACGTGGCAGCCCTAGCCATACTTAAACACCTGTGATGGACACATGTAGTAGATGTGTCGATAAGATTCTGAATATAGGGAAGTAGATTTCTGTCTGGATGCAGCATTTGATTTCAGGTGATTGACAGAACGTCTTACAGTGAAGATCACAGGCCCCTTTACTTTAAATTGGCCTGGTCTGTGTCACTCTCCCCTTCAAATAAATAAATAAATCTTTAATAAGTACATTTTCCTTACAAAATATTTCATAGTAGCTTAAGAAATGTCAACATTATTTAAGTCTATAATAAGTAGAAATAAGTAAAAAAAATTAGTAGAAGTGTTAAGTAGAAATAAGAATAAGTAATAAGTAGAAATAAGTAAATAAGTAAAAGGTTATGTTAAAATGATTTCTCACAAACAACCTTATCTCCTAGAAGGTAATGGCCACAAACGTTTTAAGTGTAAGCGACATTCTGGAGCCGCATAGAATGTTGTGTAGTTATCTCTGAATTTCTAGGCCAGTGGTCTCCAAATTGTTTTGACCCAATGCTAATTGCATGAAGCATCAATACATGCTGGTTAATTTACTTTTTTAAAGATTTATTTACTTATTTTCTAATGACTGGAGTGAAATCAATGATGCTTTATAGCCCTTGTCTCCTTCATTGAGGAACAGTGTTTTGTTTTGTTTTCTCTTCACACTATTTGTTGAACTCTTTTACTTAGGATAGGGTTGACTGTACGATCATTAAGTGTACTGCAAATAGATCATTGTAAAAATTAAGAGTGAGAACCCGAGAGTGTAAATATTAACAGTGAGAATCCAAGATGGAGAGGGAGGAAGGGTTGGATCGTGGGTGGGAGTGAGGGTGGGGGGAAAAGTGCCACTGTGTTCCTAAAATGGTATACAGGAAATATAGGAAACTGGTATAACTTAAATAAAATATATATAAAAAAGATTTATTTACTTATTTTGAAATAATTACAGAGAGAGAGGGAGGGAGATCTTCCATCTGCTGGTTCACTCCCCAGATGGCTGCAATGATGTTGATAGCAATGGTGCAAGCGCTTGAGCCATTAGCTGCTGCTTTCCCAGGCCTTTAGCAGGAAGCTAAAGAAGTGGAAGTGGAGCAGGTGAGACATGAACCTGCACTCAAATGGGATATGGGCATTGCAGGTGGTGGCTTTACTCGCTGTGCCACAATGCCAGCCCCAGGTTACTTTATTTTTGTAAATAAAGCTAAGTAAAAGAGTTCAACAAATAGTGTGAAGAGAAAACAAAACAAAACACTGTTCCTCAATGAAGGAGACAAGGGCTATAAAGCATCATTGATTTCACTCCAGTCATTAGAAAATAAGTAATACTTGTTGTGTGATTATTGGCTAACATCCCAAGACTTAGAGAGCAACTAAGGGTGAAGTTCATCAGTCAAGATTGAGAATGCCAACCTCTGTTTCCACACGGATTGCCTCCTGACAATTTGCTTCACTGTTGCATTTGTCAGACTAGAGAACATCATCGTGCCTCTGACCTTTCTAAGATGTCTGACCGAGGAGTTGTGCCAAGAGGAGGAGAACCGTGTCCCTGTGCTTGCACACAGGGTGGCTTGCTCGCCTAGGGCACTGACTGTGGAGCACCTGCCTGGTAGGAGTGCTGCTCTGCCTGTGACCAGCAGCTTCAACCAGCTACACCCAGCTTCTTCACGCTTCACTCCCAGGGCTTTGGGGAATAACTGAGGTAAGAGAAAAAGCACTTAGGACAGTGCCTGGCATGCAAGCAGCACCATGCCAAGGTGTGATAGGGATGACATTGCATTCCAACTGGAGCGTTTTCCAGGAGGAGTCTTTTAAAGTCACTTTTCCACGTTGTGAGGGCCAATTAGCTGAAACTAGGAAATGCACGGAACTCCCACGGGCCCAACTCTTTGCCATGGAGGCTCCCTACCCCCTTCCAGGCAGGTGGCTGGAGTACACCGAGAGGCTGGCAGACATGCATGCCACGTGGGGTGCTGCTGTCTCCCCATGCAGGAAATGTTAATGAAGCTACATTTTTACATAGGCTTGTATATGTGTATGTATGCATGAGTGTATATGCATGTGTGTATGTATGTGTACGCACACATCCCCATATGTTTGTATATATGCGTGTGCATGTGTACATGCAAATATATGAATGTGTATATACATACATGCATGTGCATCCATGTGTGTAATGTGTATATACATACAAGCAAAAAGTGAAGTTAAAAGGTAAGCTTATTTTGGCATACAGAATTTTGAAATCTTGCCGGCACCGCGGCTCACTAGGCTAATCCTCCGCCTGCGGCGCTGGCACACAGGGTTCTAGTCCCGGTCGGGGCGCCGGATTCTGTCCCGGTTGCCCCTCTTCCAGGCCAGCTCTCTACTGTGGCCCGGGAAGGCAGTGGAGGATGGCCCAAGTGCTTGGGCCCTGCACCCCATGGGAGACCAGGAGAAGTACCTGGCTCCTGCCATTGGATCAGCGCGGTGCGCCGGCCGCAGTGCGCCGGCCACAGCGCACCAGCCGCGGCGGCCGTTGGAGGGGGAACCAACGGCAAAAGGAAGACCTTTCTCTCTTTTTCTCTCTCTCACTGTCCACTCTGCCTGTCAAAAAAAAAAAAAAAAAAAAAAAAGGATTTTGGAAATCCTTGCATAGCTTTTTCATAATTCACTTTTCCTGTAAACTTTTTGAAGACCCCTCATGTGTGCGGTACACACATGCATATATGTATACAGACATAGGCATGCATGTAAGTATATACAGGGTAGATGTGTGTGCACATACACATGCATGTGTACATATTTTAGAATGTATTTCCTCTAATGTTTTCATACATCAGTGGATTTTGGGAGTGTACTCTGTGATGTACACCCCATGCCCTCCACTGGAAGTCCTCGTGCTGGAGGACCCACTGAGAGTGAATCTGCAGCTTGCCACAGAGAGCCATGGCTGTAGAAGCAGGACCTGAGCAAGGCTGAGCCTTGAGTGGGAGAAAATGTAGGGGCAGGAAAGAGCAGGGAGAGCCGAGGACGCTGGCAAGGGCCCAGCCGGCAGATTAGCTGTCCGCATAGCCCTGTGTCAGAGCTCTCCCTACACGAGCCAGCGGGCCTAGGGGTTCCAGAGACAGCACATTCCAGCAGATCAGATCCATTTGGCAAATATGTACTGCGCTAAGAGTACTGAAGGTAAGTGGTCACTTTTTTTTAGAGAGTTTATTATAGAGATGACTCACAGAAACATATAATCTCAGTGGGAATGGCTGTTTTATATCTGCTAACGTGTAAATGCACTTACAACTTACGAATAAATAGTACAGCTGAAAGTGCTGTCACATGCAGAAATCTTCAGAGAGAATGTTTCCTGGAGGAAGGAAGTGGTGCCTGGAGAAGTATTCGAAGCCCAGCCCTGGCTGTTGCAGGGATCTGGGCTGTGAACCAGTGGATGTGTTGAAAGATCTCTCTTTTTCTCTCTGCCTTTCAAATAAACAAAAAATTTTAAAGACACAAAATGAAGTCAAATACTGCAACATCCAACTGATTCCTTCATTAAATATTAAAACACAAAATAAGTTTTCCTTATATGTCTTGTGGCTGGCACCGTGGTGTTGTGGGTTGAGCCTCCACCTGCAGTGCCGGCAGGATACCCATATGGATGCCAGTTCAAGTCCCGGCTGCTCCACTTCCAGTCCAGCTCCCTGCTTATGGCCTGGGAAAACAATGAAAGATGGTCCAGAGGCTTGGGCCCCTGTACCCACGCTGAAGACCTGGAGGAGGCTCCTGGCTTCAGATCAACCCAGCTCCAGCTGTTGCAGCCTGTCTAGGGGGTGAACCTGCAGATGGAAGACCTCTTCTGTGTCTCTCCCTCTCTCTGTAACTCTGCCTCTCAAATTAATAAATAAATCTTAAAAAAGATATATCCTTTTTATGAAAGATGTATTCTTCATGACATCAGATCTGTCTGGAGTCACCAGACAATAACACAGGAAATCCATGAAGACATTTGTTTTTGTTCACTGCTCTGTGTGCAGTTGTGAAAGAATTAACATGTTAAGGAGATATGTATGTGAAATGTTAGGTAACAGGCTTTATATTTTCTCTTTGAATCCCAGAAAGAGCATTGTGGGGACACTGTAGGTCATCTAGCCCAGATTCCACAGCTGGAAAACCAAGGCCCACAAAGGCCAAGTGTTCAACTCAAGGCAATGCAGGAAATCAGGTCTAGAACAGGCGTTGAAGTCCTGTTTCCCAACTGCTAGCCCAGGGCTTTCTTCGTGATCCAGTGGCACCGCCCCAGCAGTACCAGATGGCCACAACTCATCCTGTGCTATTCAGATCTCCTCAGGAGCCAGAAATGAATCTGACTCCAGAAGGCTGAAGGAAAGGATGACAGCCTGTAATTTCCCCGTCCAGCTGCTGTGTTCAGTTTGGCTTTGCTTGGAACCAATGGTTTCAGATGTCATGCATCCTTGTCTCAGAAATGACGAATAACAATGAAAATAGTGGTATATGTAAAGGTGCAATTTAGGCTATGAAATACACATTCTCTATTTCCATTATTTCCCAAGCAAACCAACCAGGCTGAGTAGTACAATCTGTGTAGCTCAGTGGTCAACAGGAATAAGATTAAATACTTCAGAGTTCTTCATTGTTCTTTTTTTCCCCTAAGATTTATTTATTTGAAGGTGGGGGGGGAGAGATAGAGAGAGAATGAATGGATCTTTCATTGGCTGGTGCACTCCTCAAATGGCTACAACAGATAGGCTGAAGCCAGGAGCCAGGAACTCTATCCAGAACTCCATGTGGGTGACCGGAGCCCAAATACTTGGATTCTCACCCTGCATTCCCAGGCACATTAGCAGGGACCTGGATCATAAGAGCAGAGCAGTTGGGATTTAAATGGGCACTCCATTATGGGATGTCAGCACTGCAGGGGGTGACTTAACTTGCTGGCCACCACACCAGACTCTACATTGTTCTTAAGGACACAATTTAAATATCCATATATTCATAAATATATTATGAACATGTATTCACATTTTATATAAATTTATCTGAAGTGAATCTATTAACTTATTTTATATAGAATTACATTTTATAAATGTGTGTGTGTATATATCTCCAACAAACCAGAATTTTAGATTTAGATTTTAGACACAAATCTGACCTTGCCATATTACCCTTTCATTCTTGAATAAATGTCACTGTTCTGAAGAAAACATCTCTGTCACCCTTCTAACAGGAAACACCCTGAATCTTACTATGCTGCTCTACAACCCCTCCCTTTTTTAATTTGAGAGACAGAGAGAGAGAGATAGAGAGAGAGAGGCAGACAGAGCACTCCCACCTGCTGGTCACTTTCCAAATGCCAACAATTGCAGAGGCTGGGCTGGGCTGGAGGCAGGAGCTGGTAGTTCAATCCATGTGTCCCATATAGGTTGCAGGGACCCAATCACTTGAGTCATCACGTGTTGCCTCTCAGAGTCTACATTAGCAGGAGCCAGAACCAGGATTTGAATCCACAGACCCTGATGTGGCATCTTAACTGTTAGGCTAAATGCCCACCTTTGTTTCCCCTTCTTAACTTAAAATTTATATCTAATAATCTGCATTTTCAGGCCTTTGTTGTTTGGCAATTCTACCTCCTAAATATATCTCAAAACTGCCTACTTTCTAACTTTTTAAAAAAGATTTATTTATTTAGAGAATTACAGAGAGGCAGAAGCAGAAAGAGAGATAGAGAGAGATAGAGAGAGAGAGAGAGAGGGAGAGAGAGGTCTTCCATCCGCTGGTTAACTCCCCAAATGGCCGCAGTAGCCGGGGCTGGGCTAATGTGAAGCCAGGATCCAGGAGCTTCCTCCAGGTCTCCCATGTGGGTGCAGGGGCCCAAGGACTTGGGCCATCGTCTATTGCTGTCCCAGGCCATAACAGAGAGCTGGATCAGAAGTGGAACAGCCGGGACTCGATTCGGTGCCCATATGGAATGCCAGAACTGCAGGTGGCGGCTTTACCTGATATGCCACAGCACCGGCTGGCCCCCAGACTGCCTACTTTCTATCTTCACTGCCACAATTGAGGCGGACCACTGTCATCCCTTATTAAGATGAATTAAAAAAAGATAATAAAATAGCTTCTTACCTCTACTCCCTTCCTCCAATAACTTTCCCATAGAGTAGTTAGAATCATCTTGTTTCAAAAAGAATCATGTAACTTTTTGGCTTAAAATTTTTCAAGAGTTTCCAGAGCTCATAATGTAAAGGCCACAGTCTTCAATGTGCTTAACAAATCTCGTGATCTGGCCCCTGCCTACTTGCCAACTTCCTCTTGGCTACACTCCTCCTTGACATCTGTATTTCAGCTGTCCTCTTTCAATATCTGAGAAGAGTCAGCTTTCCCCTTCCCCAGGACTTTTGCACATGTTGTGTCAGCGTCCTGGATTGCTCTCTCTACTACAGCCCTTTCTACCAGCCCACACACCTCGTTGGCCCACTTATTTTCTACTTAGTCTCAGAGTTCAGCTCAATCAGCACATCTTTAAGGAAACCTGTCTCCCTCTTTAGATGAAGTCAGATGCCTTGTCACATCCTCTTAGCCACTGATTCTCCTCCCTTTTTGCACTTAATATAGTAGTAATTAAATATTTATGCTATTCGTTGTTCAATGTTTGTCTTCCCGAATAGCATGTAGGTGAAACACCTCATTCCTCACTGTCACAGCATTGGC